GAGCTCTGACTTCTAGTCATGTCAATAAGTGTTTTAAAACCCGAACCGTCCTGGTCGATTGGTGTTGGGAAATGCAAAATTGATGATCCAAACAAAAAATTTCAAAATAAAAAAAATATAACATGGAAAAAATAAGAAAAAATTTGCATGAACCCATGGGGAATATGTTTGATTATTTGAAAATTAAATCATCGAAAAAACATGTTAAGCATGAGGATTTGTGCTAAATAGAGAGCTTCGGGATTCTTGATTTCTAGAGGGAATCAGTCCGATCACTCTCTGATCCGGATCTAAATCCGTGATTCTTGATTCAGATAGGTGATTTTAAACATTGGTGTCTCTAAAATGACCTTACTTGATATGATCTCTACCACCTTCAAAGAGGTAAGCAAAGCAAGAAGAGTAGACGGCTTCTTAATTAAAAAGGGGAGATGGAATTTCACATAATACTAAGCATGTTATTGTGAAATTTCTTGACAAATATTAAAAAGTGTGTGTTACACAATTTACGATCCAACTCTCATAATGTTATCATTGACAAGAAATGGCAAATTAGGAAGGACGGTAGAGTCTAGAGAAACCAATTATAGGCTTTTTAATTGGTATTTGAGGATTTTTTAGTTACACTTATTATCATTAATAATTTATTGTTTCAATAAAATTAATTCTGATAATATACAATCTATTGTTTAGTAATGCCATCATAAAATTCTCTGAGGTAAACTTTTACTTAGTTTTATATTTAAATTTAAAAAAAGTATACAAGGAGATCATTTACTTTTATACATGAAAATTACAATCACTCTTATTATTAGATATAAATCGGGTGGTTGTAAGCATGTCATTGACTGGTCTCAAAGTTAAAAAGAATAAAAATAAATTACATTTCGTGAAACACCAAACCATCCAATTTGAAATCTAATGGCTATGACTGATTGTGACCTTTTGTGCAATAATGATAAATGGTCTTATAGTATACAATCCCTTAAATTTATCTTCTTCTTTTTTTAAGTTGTTTTTACTTACTCATAGTAATAGCCAAAATTGCTAAAATTACTAAAAAGCTATAAATTAAATAACATTATATATAAAATTCCATTAGTTGGGCAAAATAATTTGTACATTAACCTATGCTAGATTGCTTATGATTATATTTGAAGATATATAGGGGTAAGTTGCATTTGTGAAAACCATTGTTTTCTTACCCAAAAAATGAAAAAGGAAAATTGTCAGCGCAGTCCCATCAAAATAAGTAAAGCCTCATCTCAAAACTCACTAAAAATTATTATTGTAGCATTGGAAAACCTTCAAATCGATCATCTCGGCCTTGACCATTATGGTTGTGAAAAGAAATTAGGATTTCGAATCTTAAAAATAGTATACATTGTAGGATGCTATCTAGGCCGTCTATTTTATTTTAAAAATAAGTTTTCATGGATCCACAAGATGTGTTTATTTTTTAGAATTCAAATTTAATTGATTTTAGAGCCATGATTGAGATTTTTTTTGGCCCAAAGTTCTTTCCAAACAAATATTTGATGTGAAGTTTTACTTTGTTTTCATAAAGCCTAAGCATTATAGAAACTACGTAGAAAGAGAAACCATCGTTTGAAATAGTATCCTAAAAGTTCACGTCTTCGAATTCCCCTCAAGAATTCCAAAAAGCCAAAGTCACAAATGCTTTTGTTACAAGCATCACTTCGCTGCTCATTAGAAAGTGCTCAAAAGAAAAAAAAACACCACAAAAAAACAACATTTTTGATGTACTATAAAAGTAGATGAAGTGAGTGATTTAAAATCCCTATTTCGAAAATGCAAATATCGATCTGAACTAGAAATCAGCCGGCAACAACCCGATTCTTGTCAAAACTAGGAATTGAATAGACAATCCAATTCCTCGTCCAACTCGAATAGATTTTCCTAGGTCCATTAAGGAACGGGGTGAGTCTATCAGGAACCATGCAATCTGGTTCCCACCTATTATATATATTTAGAATTTTTAATTTTTCAATTTTTTTATCTTAATGGATAGATTCTCGAAAATTGGTCTAATTTGCCGATCTGAACCAAGTCAGGTTCACCCGGGCAGCACGTTGTTTCAAATAGTAACTAAAACTATTTATAGCCGACAAACTATTTATAATTTGAGAAATGATCCTATAGACCCTTCCCACCCATATGTGTAAGACTTCAAAGGATCACCTTTAAACTTGGTACGGATCTCTAAAAAACTCAAGTTCTACACCCATATGATAACTTTTCTAAGGATCCATACCAAATTTAATGGTGATCCTTTAGGGTCCTACACACAGGTGGAGGAGGGTCCTATAGGATCATTATTCTTATAATTTATAGTTATCAATAGTATTTTTGTGTAGGACACAGTTTCTGGTTTCTATGTGGCCAGCACGGATATTGTAGAAATACGGGCTTGGCAATAAATATAATTTGATCCTAAATTTTAGAGAAAATATAATCTTTAACATGGGGATCATGAATATAATAATAATAATAATTGAAAACTATAAATAATAATTATATTAAAAAACATTTAAATTATTAGTTACAATTGTTTTTAAATGGACTACCTATTTGCATCCATCTTTTATATGGATGCTTTATACCTTTGGACCACAAAGTGTAGAAATGTGGTCTAGCCCGCATAAAACAATTTTCCTTTTATGTATGAGTAAATATATATAGAAAATTGTTTCATGTGGGCTAGATCGCATTTCTACATATGCGGTTTAGAAAGTATAAGGCATCCATCTTAAAGATGCAAGCAGGTGATCCATCTAAAACAATGGAAATTAACCGTCCAAATGTTTTATTACTAGAATTATTATTTTTAGTTTTTGAAATTTATTTATTTTTTCATATTCATGAGCTCCATGTTAAATATTAAATGTCCTTAAAAATTAAGCCTTATAATCCGTCCCAAAAATAGATTTATTAAGAGGCCCGCATTTCTACATATGTGAGCTTGGCTGCATAGAAATCGAGTCCAATACATATGGAAAATTGTTTCATGCGGGGCTGGACCGCATTTCTGCAATATGTGATCTAGAGGTATAAATCATTTATCTTAAAGATCGATGCAAAAAGGTGGTCCACTTAAAACTGCAATATGTGATCTAGAGGTATAAATCATTTATCTTAAAGATAGATGAAAAAAGGTGGTCCATTTAAAAACAAGTGTAACTAACGCTCCAAATGTTTTTTTAATAGAATTATTTTTTCAAAATTTCAAATTTTTTTTTTCATATTCATGAATTCCATGTTAAAGATTATATATTGTCTAAAACCTAAAATCAAATTATACTTAAAAATATATTTATTGCCAAGCAAACATTTCTACAATATGTGGGCTTGCCGCATATCCCATATATATTGTATTAACTACTAACAAAAGGATAATTTATATAAGAAGAGCTAAGTAAGAATAGAAAACATAAAGTGAAAAAGAGTGGGAATCCAAAGCTAACCGTCATGCACAAATGATAAAAAGTAAAAAAAAGGGCAAAAATAAGGAGGAAGACTGTTTGAAATTCAAATGGCGTGAGAGAGAGAGAAAGTGAATAGTGTGGGCCTGCATTGTCTCCTCAGGGAAAGAGTGAATTACATGAGTGGTGCTCTTCGCACTCATCGAGGTAGCACTGTTCCACACAGACGGGGGTAGAGAGAGAGAGAGAGTAGCTTGGGGTAGACAGAGAGAGAAAGTTGCAGGCAACGAGAGAGCTGTCTCCTAGCCCGCTCTTGTTTTAAACCACGACACACTATTTAAATTCCCATTAAAAGTGATGAATGATTCTCTCTCTCTCTCTCTCAATTTTTATTTTTTTAAGAAAAAAATGGATAAGCCTTTCCTCTTCTTTCTGCATGCCCAAGATCTTCCATCAATGTCACTTCAATCAAAGCACCCTTCCTTTTTTTTTCTGGCAAATTGCCTTTCACTCTTCCACTAAATACTACAGAAATATACGACAACAAGAAAAAGGAAATGATCAAAACAACACAAGAGATCAATTTGTTGAAAATTTTGGTATATTTTGATAAATTTCCCAGTAAAAATTGACATAAACAGTTCATAATGGCCATAAAAATCATCTTATGAAATAGGCGATTTAGTTTTATTCAAGCACAATGATAGTAAACTGGGAAAGGGGGTTAGGTCGTGGTGGCAACACCCCTACACCTTAGTCGTCATATTGTGGTTTCCATTCTCAAAATACACTACTTCACTAGTGTCTTAAAAAAAACCAACTTCTAAACTATTTGAAACAAAACGATAAATTACCCCAAAAAAAAAAAAATGGTAAACCTTGCAACCATAAAATGCATATGCAAACGTGTGAATTTCAAAGTCTTTTCTAGCTTTTTGGAATTCAAATAAAGTGATAATTTTATTAAGGAAAAAGTTTATATAAATACGAGGCTCTAAACAATCTAATTAACGCGCACCTTAATAATTTCACTAGAAGAGGTTGTTTTGATGCCCAAAAATCCTCGAATTGATCATCTTGACCTCAAGATATATGGACAGGAGGAAATAATAGATTTCAAGTTTTGAAAATAGTGCATCTTATAGCACGTTTTTGGACCGTCAATTTTCAGAGTTTTCATAGATCGGCTCGATCTTCACTATTTTTGAAGCTTTAAATTTTATAATTAGAGATAAAAATAAATTTTAAAGCTATCACAAAAAAATTTAGCATTAAAACCACATTTTTTGATACTATTTGAAGGTGCGAGCCACGGCTCAGTACAAACCGCACCCTTTTATTAAACCCAAGGCCTTTTTATGTAAAACTAGAAAATGTAAGCCGCACCCTTGAAATGGACAAAAATTTGTATAATTCAAAAATAAGAGTACAAGGGTAAAATGGTCATATACTCCATTATTGTTCTCACGGATACTATCCCAGGTGAGCTGCACAGGAGTTTATTAACTATAAAAGACCAAAACTTGCGTAATAACTTTTTCGAACTTGACAGTTGAACGCCTCTCGATCTTTTTCTCTCTCTAAAATTCAAATCTTGTACCGTCTCTGGTTCCCACTCATCCCATATCTCTAAACCTGTTTTTTCCTTCGGATTTTGGGTACTTTCTCGCTCATTCAAATCTCTCTCTCTCATCCCTAGCTTCCGGTTATTGCCCCACCATGATTCCAGCCAACCCCTGCTTTTCCTCATAAGATTTCATCTCTCTATCTAAGTCTACTGGATCCTGCTCTCCCAAAAGGTCTCTCTCTCTCTCTCTCTCTCTCTCTCTAGTTCAAAACTCGAAGACCTTTTTCCTGTATATTTCTACTCTACTCCACCCATCATTTTCTTCTTGTACTTTCGAAACTCCACCATTTTCTCCCCTGGTTTTCACCCTGCCTACTTTCTCCACAGCTTTCGATTGCTTCCCCACCTACTATTTCTTCAAAATAACTGGGTATTTCTCTCTCTAGGATCTCATAACAACTGGGTTTTTCCCTCTCTGTGCTATATAAGCTGGAATGGCTCAGGTAGTCATGGTGTCCAAGCTATGTCCAGGCAGAGGAAACAGTGGGGAAGTTGGAAAAGAGAGAGGGGATCAGAGAGAGGATGAGAGTGCACAAATCTCTCTGCTTGCTCTTCTCTTGGACACTTTTAGGAGGTCTTTGGTGTCCTGCAGAGTGAGAGAAGAGGGGGAAAAGCCACAGAGACAGATGGAGATCGGCTGGCCGACGAATGTGCGGCATGTCGCGCATGTTACCTTCGATCGCTTCAATGGTTTCCTCGGCCTTCCAGTTGAGTTTGAGACCGAAGTACCTCGGAAGGTCCCAAGTGCTAGGTTGGTCTCTCTCTCTAGAACTTAAGAACCCTCTTTCTCTCACTGATAAATATGGGTTTTAGCACTCTTCTCTGCTCAACTACTCTTCTAAGTATGACCTTGGGATTGCAAAGTAGGATGTAGTCCTGTAGTGCTAGTAAATTGATCTCAAAGATCAACACTTTGTCACTAGTACTAAATAAAAGTAACAAAATAATTTGAGGCTACTTGGTTTTTCTTTTTTCTTTTTTGGCTCTTTTCCTATTTTCTCCCCTTATTGTTTATTCTGTTCTTTCCCTGGATTTTTTTTCCCTAATTTCTTCTCCTCGAAATGATTGAGGCTAGTTTGGTTTTTTTTTTCTATTGCTTTTCCCTGTTTTCTTCTTTTGCTGAAATATTCTTTTCTTTCTCTGTAACCTCTTTTAAGTGCATTTTTTGTGGGCTTGTGAGGCAAACGATATATATTACTGGAGAAGTAGCAAATATCAAAGACTAGAAAGGGATTCTTTATGTCCTTCAATTTATTATAAAAACGCAATGGGTGAATTTATTGCTGCAATTCTCTTACAGGAAAGAAGAAATTTTCACAAAATATATAAACTAGGATGTTCACACAAAATTCATACCAAATATATGCTTCTTTTTAAAAAAAATTTCTCTTGTTTAATTTGATCTGTTGGCAATGGAAAAGATGTAGCAATAGTTCATGAATAACGATTTGTCCATCTGACTACACAGAGGCTCTTTTCTATCAAATTCCAATAGAATCAATATTTTTTATATTTCCTTTTCCCTTCTTTTTAAATTTTCAATTGACTTACCTTATTGGGTTCAATAAAATATGCAGTGCCAGTGTGTTTGGGGTCTCAGCTGAATCAATGCAGTGCTCTTATGATTCAAAAGGAAATAGTGTGCCCACCATTCTCTTACTCCTTCAAGAACGCTTATATGCACAGGGAGCCCTCAAGGTGAATCCCTTTAGATTATTGCAACTAATAATTCTCGTCTGTTTTTCTTTTCCTGTTATCTGATAATTGAATATGGTTTTTGGCCTCACAGGCAGAGGGAATTTTTCGAATAAACCCTGAAAACGGTCAGGAAGAGCATCTGAGGGACCAGTTGAACAAGGGAATTGTTCCTCATGACACAGATGTTCACTGTTTAGCAGGTTTGATAAAGGTATGACCAATGCCTCTGGTTTAGTAAAAATTAGCTAATTTCTTAATTGGTTTTCTGGTTGGTAGCCTTGTTGTTGTCTATCAGTTTCCCTTTTAATGTCCTTTGTTGATTATCAGTTTAGATTGAGACACCAATCCGAGCGAGAAACCCATTTACCATTGATGGGTTCAGAGAGAGTAACATCTTCCCATAATTGGTTTGGAGTTAGAAACCCATATACCAGTATCATTTTTTTAGTGAAAAACATGTTTCCATTTTTAAGGCTTGAGTAAGACTATGAAATCACTAATTCCAACATCTTAATTGCAGGCTTGGTTTCGTGAGCTTCCCTCTGGTGTGCTTGATGGTCTCTCTCCCGAACAAGTTCTTCAATGCAACACAGAGGAGGAGTGTCTGGAATTGGTGAAGCTTCTCCTTCCCACACAGGCTGCGCTGCTGAATTGGGCAGTTAACCTCATGACTGATGTTGTTGAAGAAGAGGAATTCAATAAGATGAATGCAAGGAATATTGCCATGGTCTTTGCACCTAATATGACTCAGGTCTCTCTCTCTCTCTCTCTCTCTCTCTCTCTCT